ATTGAATGAACATAGGTAAAAACAGAATTAAGCTGTAACATGCAATTTTGTCACCATGAACTGTTAATCTTTTACATGTAAATTTTCAGGTGACCTTTTCAAATGTCTCTATTTAGGAACTTTGTGAGTTCTACTTTGGTTATTTTATATTTCATAAATGATATAAGCATTTTCATTCTGGTAAAATGTAGGTAATCATGGGGGTCCAGTTTTCAATTGGTGATCTAACAGAGCACCTTCTGAGTTTGACAAGAGGTAGCAGCATAAAACTCTAGTAAGGTATTTCAGCAAATAACATAAAAAAGGTATCACCGTAGGGTCAGATAAAGGTTAAAATGTTGATAAATGCAAATGTATTATTTGTAATCAATTGCATACATTTAGATAAAGATGTACAAGAGTACTACTTAAAGAAAATTTCAATTTACTTAAGACAACAACAACATAATTCAGTTGGGAACCATATTTACACATTTGCTTTTCCACAAAGGATGGTTTAAATACAAATTCTTGTTTTTTGTTTTTTTTATTGAACTTGCACCAAGTATGCTTGCTCTCTTAACAAAAACTATAATTCATTTTTTTTTTTACAAAGGGGCCTTAATTCAACATGTTAATGTATTAATACAATGCATCTTGATTGATGTGTAGTGTACCCATAAATTGACATGCACACTTGCCCTTGGAACATGGTAGTCTGGTGTGTATGTGTATATACTTGTATATATGCTTGTATGGGGGCTTGAACTCAGAGCCTCATGCCCTTGCTTAACTTTTTCACTCAAAGCTAACCCTTTACCACTTCAGTTACATCTCTATTTCTGGCTTTATTCTGGTTAACTGGATATAAGACTGTTATAGACCTTTCTGACTTGGTTGGCTTTGAATCATGATCCTCAGATCATGTGAGCCACCGGTGCCCATTGTAAGTGCAAGGTCTTTTGCATTACATTCCAACCAGTTCATGAAAGATTAGAATAAATTCCTTTATTAATTTCAGACATGGAGAGAGGGGAGAAGGGGTAACTCACTCTTTTGCCAGGTCCTGCTAGTACCTCCTGAGCTTTCAGTCCAGAGAGGACTATCTAGATCACTAATGAGCAAACTGACCAGTGTATCAGCTCCGGCCCTACTTCCTGTTTTCATTAGCAGTTGTTTTTGTTGAGGAGTTGCCTATAGTTTCTTCAGTACTAACTGCAGTTACCCCAAATGTTTTTCACAAGTGGTTGTAACATCATTTGTAATTTCATAATCATTGTATAAAGAATTTCCCTTGCTACACAAACTCTATGAAGAGAGACTGTCTTCTTTTTGCCAATATAGGGGAAATAAACTGGTACAATCACAAAGGTCTGAGCTGTAAAGCCTAATATATTAGTTTCTGGTTTTGTTTTGTTTTTTTGGTCGTGGGATTTGAACTCTGGGCCTGGGCACTGTCCCTCAGCTCTTCAGCTCAAGGCGAGTGCTCTACCACTTGAGCCACAGCGCCACTTCCAGTTTTCTGGTGGTTTTATTGGAGATAAGAGTCTCACAACTTTCCTGCCTGGGCTGGCTTTGAACCACGATCCTCAGATCTCAGCCCCCTGAGTAGCTAGGATTACAGCGCCCAGCTAGTTTCTGGTTCTTCACCAAAAAATAATTTACGTTCCCTTAGCCTGATCACCATTATTCAATACAAATAAAATGCAAATCACATTTATAAACTGCCCAATATACATTAAAACAAAAATATTATAATTTATAAATAATACAATATAAATTATAATATAACCATGAAGGTTAGAATGTGTTTGTGACTTTAAGTATCACTATCCCACAATACTGTGAAATCTGTGAAATTTATGTAATCACTTAATCACAATAAAACTGCTAAAAAATATATTTCATTTAACCCTGTATATCCAAAACACACTCATTTCAACAAACAGTTCTGCCATAGTTTGAGTGTGCAGTAGACAAATGTGCTTCATATCTGTTGCTTTAGACAAAGCTGCTAGAAGACCCATTCTAAAGAAAATCAGCCATGCAGAAAGAAGGGGCCACACCCAAGTTGTCCAACAAGCCTAAGTGGCGGAAGTTCACATGATCTTCCTTATCCTTTAACTCACTTTACAGACACAAAACTCAGAAAAATTTAAAACCAACCAGTGGTCCACATAAGCCATGCTCCTTAAATACGATGAGCTGCCAAGATTTCTAAAGTGTAGAAATGATTTCAGCAAGGCTGTTTATTCCCTGCTTTGAAGCTAAATTCATCCCACTGCAATTTAAACAGGTTCTATCTTGTTTTATCCTCAGCTGAACCTAAGAAAAGCAGTTCTCCATCACCAATATAATATTGTATTCCTTTAAATCCTTTAAGACTCTGACCCTCCTCTCCCACTCTCCAAAGATTTTTTTTTTCTTTGTGGAGTGTCAGCTCCCCTAGCATTTCAAATTGGACCCGTTTTCCAAATGCTTTCACTGTATTTTCTATTCTCTTTTAAACCTCTCCCTGCAACTGTACGCACTCTTCAAATGTAAGAAGAAAAAGCGAATGCCATATTCCAGAGACCGCTAAGGACTGACAAACACAAAGAGCTCACTATGTGGATACAACATTATATTTTGTTTAGATTATTTACATTATTGTTGGGGAACATTCTTTCAGGTTCCATTATTACTTACACACATGCACATACACATATAAACACAGATCTTAGACATTCTAAATTCCACAGGCTTACTACCCCACATAATGAGAAGAGATTTATAAACATCTTTGAAATTTTATGTTTAACAAATTTGTAAAGTAATAGATTAAAATAATCTCAATATTCTTAAGATGAAAAGCTAAAAACCTATGTGACAGATGATAAAGAAATCGAATACATAACTGGAGAAAATATAACTGAGAGGCACAAATAAAAACAGCAGTAGGCAACACTAAATTCAACAACAGGTGTATAGGACATATACTCAAGGAGATGATTGGCCTCTCTAATTTAGTGTTTTCCCATGAAAGAGAACGAAGAGAGGTAGAAAATATGGTAATCGTGCAGTTTATTCATGTATAAAAAGGTTATAATAGAAAAGTGCAAGGAAGATAAAAGAGGGGACAAGGAAGGGGTGATAAGAATAACAGAGGGGTTAATATGATCCAAGTATATTATATGCATGTATGGAAATATCCATAAACCTCTCACACTGAACAATTAATATGTGCTAATAAAAAATAATCAAAAAAATAAAAACAATAAAAATGAAAGTAAAGAATGGATGGAAATTGTTATCCGAGATGAAGGGTACCAACTTGAAAATAAATAAAATCAACCTACAAGTAGGAAAATGACCCAGACATTTTGCTTCCTGAACTGAAAAAAAAAACCAAAAATATATATGGAAAATGAAATCTATATATAATATAATCATTACCTAAGGGGTAGCTCTGAGATTCTCTAAGGAACTCAAAGAAATAGCACCAGTTTGCACTTTGGGAATTAAACCTATAAAAGTGGCCCTTGATGAGTGAGATTTGTTCCTGCAATCCCTAGCCATTAGAAACGTATAGGTCAAAGGACATATAGCTGTCATCCACCATTCTAGTCCACACTTTCCAATACCCAATGCACACTCTGGTATGAACAGAGAACCACACATCTGTGTTTGGATGGATTGCACAAGAGGCAGCTGGGCTCGCTTGTCATGCATGTTTTATTTGCCCAACCTCATAGTATATGTGATCCAACTTCCCACCTTATGTTCAGCGATCAGAGTTAAAATTTCAAAATTGCATTGCTTGTATACAACTGACCTTTAGAAATAACCTTTATCAGGGAGCTAACAGCTTGTACCTGTAATCTTAGCTACTCAGGAGGCTGAGATCTGAGGATTGGGTTTTGAACCCATTCTGGGCAAGAAAGTCTGTGAGACTCTTATCTCCAATTAACCACCATAAAACTGGAAGTGGCGCTGTGGCTCAAAGTGGTAGAGCGCTAGCCTTGAGGGAAAAAGCAGAGGGACAACACCCAGGCCCTGAGTTCAAGTTCCATGACAAAAAAAAAAAATCTTTAATTTTTGATTATCTAAAATCAAGGGGAAAGGCAGCAACTGCTACAACTGCTAAACTAAGTCCTCAGCCTCTTTAGATTTCTGTTTTGTTAAATTGTCCAACCTGGCCTAGAAGTTGTGATCTTTCTACCTCAGCCTCCTGAATGCTGGGATTAACAGGTATGTGGAACTACCCTTGGCTTTAGTTGAACTTTTTTTTTAAAAATACTATCATTTTGCCTCTAACTCTAAATGTACAAATGAGATAAAATAAGGTCTGACTTCATGTCCTTAATATTAACATTTAAATGGTTTTCATTATACCATGTTGTCTTGGAAAATGTTAATATGTAATAGGGTTTTAAAATTCCGCTAACATGTCTTTTAAAATTTTTGGATTAAATTCTAGGTTCATAAATATGTTTTTCATATAACTGAAACATAATTACAAGTATTTCTTATCAGCAGTATTTCTTATTCAGCCATTAAAATAAAAGTTATACATAGAAGACAGTATTATGAAGGATTGATATATGAATATGAATAACAGGTACAAAATGCTCAGGGGAGACTTGGAGGTACAAAGATGAAAAGATGGAAAGGAATCTCATAAAGAATCAGATTATCAAGTTTAGAGGTGAAAACTAAAAGAGCTAATCCATGTTTCTTCTCATTTAGATTCTCCAGTTTATGAGAAGAAATGCAGACTCTATCGTAATGTGTAACTCATAATCAGAACCCTCAAAAGCTGCTCATCTTATAGATACCGAATCAAGACAACTGCCCATCCAGTACTCTAATTTTTCTGATAACTTTTTGCTTCTTTGCAATAAGCATTTTTATAAAAGGTCAAATATTCTTCAACTATAAAAGTGAATCCCTAAATCCAAATACAGTCCTCTTCCCTTAAATAAAAAAACAAAAAACAGTTGATAATGTTCTTGGGGTACAACAGCTTGATTTGAACTTACCTTACCTGGAGAGTCTACCTGTAGAACAACTGGGCAGGATACTGACCCAAGCTGATGGGAGCTAGAGGATTTCTGTTCTAGGCTTTTGTGCTTATTTGCTTCTGAGGTAACTGAAAGTACTGGCTCAAGCTTCAGAAGCTTTGAATCTTCGCAACAATTAAGAATAATTCTTGCTCTTTCTCCTGTCTCATGTCTTTCCAAAGTACCTGGAAAATAAGATTAGAAATAAATGTTGCATGCAAAATATTTATCCTTACAAATAAGAGAATAAAATTCTCTCAACAGAGAAACCACAATCCTTTCAATTATCATAGCTATCCTCAGGCAAGCAATAAATAATCAAACCAATAAATATGCAAGCAAATAGAGTCAGCCTGGGAACTTTTGCTAAATTATTTAAATCACTGTCTCATCAAGGCTGAAATTATGGACTTGAAAAGCTCATATTCCTTGTGAGTTCTTTCATCCACGGAAAACAACAGGGCATTCAATAGTCTTCAACAGTAAAATCCCTTACTTATTATGCAGTATGCAAGTGATCAATAACAAACAACTATTAAATACTGTAGTGCTGTCACCTAGTGTTTCAACTCCCAACCATCAGAGTATTCACAGTGTTCTGGGTTCTCAGGCTTAACCTGTTTCTACTGGTTAAGATATAATTTTAATGATTAGGATAAGAACATGGCTGATTTCTGTCCTATAGCCTCTTGTCATAACTTGTTCATTTTGTTGGTGGTTATGGACACACAACCCTTGGCTTTTATTTCATATGGTATTAGAAGAGCAAAAGACAATGCTTTATACTCTGCCAGAAAGCCCATTTTGAAGTTAAAAAGAATTAGTATCAAGTGGAGAAAAGTTATCAGAAAGCAATTCATAGTCAAGTGGTTTAACTCACTGAAATCTCAGTGAGTGAAGTAATCATCACCACAATCACCTATCAGTTATGTATTGCTAATGATACATTTATATAACCTATATACAATAGAGTAAAAATTCTATTGGAAGTTAACTTTGTATATAATACTAAAATACTGGATTCATTTCATATTCTTTTCCTACCAATGAGGAAAAAAACTATTATTTGAGAGCTTCATAATTATTTGTACTGCTAAGCAAAGATCAACTAAAGTCATCACATTAAGAAAATAGTAAGCAAATGTGTAGAGTACTTTGCCTTCAGATTAGAAGACAGATATAAAGATTATGACTATTCAACACGTTTCCATTTCTCTTTACAGCAACTAAATTACCATGAGTTGGTAGTTTAGATATGAAGCAGTAACAACTACTAGGTTAAAACAGAGGAAGAACTTTATTTAGTCTTGAGTGTCCTCACAATATTTTCAATTACACATTCACAAATGGACATCTTTTAATATAAAGCCTATAACCATATCCTTCTAAGCTTTTCTGATATTAAAGAAACACCAGAAAATGAAGATTAAAAAAAATAACTTCACCTTTTTTTTTTTTTTTTTGGTTTGGTCAGTCATGGGGCTTGAACTCTGGGACTGGACACTGTCTCTCAGCTCTTACAGCTCAAGACAAGTGCTCTACCACTTAAGCCACAGCGCCACTTCCAGTTTTCTGGTGGTTTAATGGAGATAAAAGTTCCACAGCTTTTCCTTCCCAGGCTGGCTTTGAACTGTGATCCTCAGATTTCAGCCTCCTGAGTAGCTAGGATTACAGGAGTGAGCCACCAGCGCCCAGCTCACTTGACCTTTTAATTTTGCATTCCAAAGTGAATGTAAAAATCACTTCCACTATCAAAAACATAAAGAGAAGAAACTTGGTGGGAGCAGTCATAAAATTCAAATAACAACAGATGCAGGCAGTGATGTGGCCAAAAGGGAACACTACTACACTGTTGGTGGGAGTGTAAACTTGTTCAATCACTGGAAAGCAGACTAAACATAGAGCTCCCCTATGAACTAGCAATCCCACTCCTGAGCATTTGCACAAATGACCACAAACAAGGCCATACTAAAGCTATCAGCACAACCATGTTCACTGCAGCATTAGTTACCATATCTAAGATATAGAACCAACCCAGATGCCCCTCCATAGATGAATGAATCAAGAAGATGTGGTATATATACACAATGGAGTTCTATGCTTCCATAAGAAAGAATGACATTGCCCATTCACAAGGAAATGGAAAGACCTGAGAAAAATCATATTAAGCAAAGCAAGCCAGGCCCAAAGAAATATAGGTTTCATGGTTTCCCTTATTTGTAATAAGTAGAATGTATCTATGATATTCTTAGCAGGGGATTATAACAGACCAATTGCTAAGTGCATAGGACTAAGTACTCCAGAATTTGAAACCAGAAAGGTATCTTTCAAGTATCTTAAATAAGGTATTCTCAACCTTTAGTTCATGAAGTAACCGAATCATGAGAAAAGTATAAGAATTATGAGAAACTAATATCCTGATAGAAAGTGATGAACAGATAAATTTGACTGATCCAGAATTGTTCATTTCTGCCTCTAAGTCAGTACATAGGAACAAGGAACAACCAAGATCTCTTTGTGGATTCCTAGAAGCACATGGAGTATGTTTTCACATTGTTTTTCATGTCTTGTTTTTACTATCAAAGCAATGCATCTAACACCATCCCCAGTCAAACCGCCTGAAGTCAGCTCTATGACCATGTGCAGCCCTGTGTTAGCTGTCTATCAAGATGGCAGCAGGGTGGCCTCAATGCAGGATGGGTCAGAGCTGATTCTCCCAAAAGAACACTGTGTGTCAAGTCTTGCTTTCACTACTACTGGTTGTGTGGCCTCAAGCAAGGTCATTTAGATATCTGTGCTTCAGTCTCTGTCTGAACAATGAGGATCACAACTTTTATCTCACAGGGTCACTAAAGGTTGACTTGAGCAGACATTTGAACAATGCTTAGAGTTTGGGCACATGTGGCAGAGGTTCTACTCAGCTCCTCAGCCCAATGTAAGCTATTTAACAAACATCCATGGCCCTCTAGCTCTGGAATGTGACTGATCAGACTCAAGGTCATTAGTCCTCTGGCTGCCTGGAGCCCCCACTGCTTTCTAAATGAGGCTTGACTTTCCATAGTCAGCCTGGCCTCCAAGGCTAGATGATAAGCAAAATCAAAGTCGAATTATAGATTTGACTTATTTTTTTTAATCCTTCTCTGTAAACCAGAATGGGGTCTGGCATAAATTAAAGGCTAAATAAGACTCCTTAATGGACTATATGACACCAGCAACTTGACTAATGATGTTTTTCTACTATAGTTACAACTGGGATTAAATCCAAACTCTTGACCTACAAGTCTTATTCTCACACTTTTTCTACCACACCCTCACTATGTTTATAAATGAGATTTTCTTTTCCTTAAATACCATCAGTTTGATCCTTTTCTATCCACTCCATCTCATCCTTTAGATATTAGCTTCCAATCTTACCTCCACACAAAAGCATCTCTAAAGCAGTTTCCTCACCTGTTTCACATTATTGTCCAACTCCGTTTCTTTACAGCACCCAGGACATTCCTTATTGGTGTATTTTAGTTGCTTGCTTAGATTTTAGGTTCCTTCCACACCCAACACTAACCTCTGTTTGACAAGTATATGTCCTTTATGTGTGGAACAAAGTTGAATACAATAAATGGTCCCTTACTGAATGGATTGATCAAATTTTACCCTTTTACTGTATGAAGTAGAAGGGGCAGCTACAAAGCATCCAGAGTTCACAAGGTTTCAGTGTGACATGAGTTAACACCAACTATGATTATTATACATTTGGACCTAGAGCCCAGAGAACATAAATGCAGGGAAAGGTGGCAGTTAGAATCTCAAGCAAGATACCTGACCCAACTCCTAGCTACAGTGCTGGTCATTATGAATACTTGAAGAATTGAGAACTGGAGGCATTCAGATCAGTCTCTGAGTAGGTCATGCTAACTTGACCTGTGCTCTCACCATTTCTTTCCCAGTGGACTGAGGAACAGGATGTGCTAGTCAAAGAGAGAAAAATAAGAAAATGCATAGAGAGTGAAGAGATAGAGGAAGTCAGAGAAGGAGTAGGAAGGGACAGGGAACTTAAAACTCTCCTACCTTTGTTTCTATTCCCTTCCTAAAGACTATCACCCTTAAGGTCTGTGCAACACACCTCTGAAGACTTATATAAATAGCTCCTTCTGATTAAAAAACAACTTTACTTGGCTCCTACTGCCTGCGAGCTACCTAATGGGGCCTGAAAAAGACAGAGATGTTTCTCTGTGGTCCAGGCCAAGTTTGAGGACAGCTAATGAAATATACATCATGCAGCACTCTGTGTAGAAATCTTAACAGAGAGACAGAGGCCAGGCACTGTCAGCAGGTGGGTGAGGACTAAGTCCCAAGGAAAGAAGGAATCTGGAGTGACATGTGTAAGAGTCCAGCTCAAACACTTATGGCATAAAAAAGGGGAACAGAAAGGAGGAGAGTTTCTAAACTGCCAAAATATGATACTCTAAAATGCACTATAAACGCATCAGGAATGTCCATATTCATAAGACACTGATGGCTTTTGTTTTGTTTTCACATAGATAAATAATTTCAGGGAGTTGCTGGCTTATACCTGTGATCCTAGCTATTCAGGAGGCTGAGATGTGAGGATATCAGTTTGAAGCCAGCCTAAGCAGAAAAGTCTTCAAGATTCTTACCTCAAATTAACCACCTAAAAAGCCAGAAGTGGAGGTGAGGCTCAAGTGGTAGAGTGCCAGCCTTGTGTGGAAAAAGCCAGTGAGCAATAAAGGCCCTGAGTTAAAGCCATAATACCAGCACATTTAAAAAACACCTGTTATGAGATCTGATTATGAAGTATTACTCTACCTTAAAGCAGTATTCATATATCACAAGAGATTCTGCATACCATTGAAGTACAGGAGTAGAGAATAAGAAAATCACCCATATAGCAGGGAGGTTTGGTGGGGGGGTGGGGGGGGAGGATGGGAAGGGATGGGAAGGGGAAACAAAGGAGGAGGCTACAATGCTTGATAAGAAATGTACTCATTATCTTGCCCATGTAATTGTAACCCCTCTGTACAGTATTTTCACAATAAGAATTAAAATTTTTTTAAAAAGAAAATCACCCATAGAAATATGACTTGTAGCTATAATAGTCCTTAATATCCACAGAAAGGGTAATAGTTCTTAATATCCACAGAAAGAAAAGTTTCAGTACATACATTCC